CACACACACACACACACACACACACACACACACACACACACTGACAAAAGCTCTCCACGCTGGCTGTCCAGCTTATGCTCCTGTGGCAGTAAAGGGAGCTGGCCCTGCAACAATCCAAGTAGACAAAAAAGCAGCGCTCATCACTCTCCTGTTGTGCTTATCAGTGGCAGAAATATTTTAAAACACAGAGTAAGACTTTTACAAATGTCATTTTACTTAAATTGAGTCTTTTAAAGTCAGATCTGTCTGAACCTAGATATCTGTATGGAACAGCCGGGATGCTACACTGTAGACACTCTTATAAACATTGTTAAGCCACTTCAGCTGCTTCTTAATTCACCAAGGGATCACCAAACTAAGATCAAATTGTTATTATGAATAAATTATTATTATTAAATTATTTTCTGTCATTCTATAAATGATGTCATTGTTTATAGACAACATGATTTGCAGCTTTTTTCCCCTATAGACTCTACTACTTAAATGTTAAAACCAATTCCTCAGTTATCTTATAATGCACCTTGATGCAGCACTCTAGTTCATCTTTTGTCTGAAACAAGCCCTTTTAGCTCCATTCCCCCTCCTTTTATGGCATCTTTCTTCTGATTGGCTCACCCCTGCAAGTAGAAGGTTTGAATTGCAACTGGATGGGCAGTGTCTGCTCAGGGCCAGAGCTGTGTGCCTGAGATGGGCATGTATGCATTGCTCTAAAACGAGTGTAACCATTATTTCAACCCAGTATTGGAACAATATATAAGATAAAATAATGAGGAAGCACGCAATAGGTCCCCCTTTAATGAGTGACATCTGAAGAAAATCTGTAATAATATATAATTGTAATCATACTTCCATTATAAGCCCTTGGGTGTTTTTGAGATAAATGCACTGAACACTGGAATACTTTCAGATACATGCAGCACTCAGCTGGCTGGTGAACAGAGAGTCATGAAGGTGTCCTTGTGACATTGCCAAGACAGCTATAATATTTATTTAGGATGAAGGAAGTAAGGAGCTATGCCAAATACTTACTTAAAAATAGACAGGAGTCATTGATAGAAGCTATAAATAAAGAGAGGGAAGAGGGGCTTGTCCTGGATGGGGGTATTTATAGCACAGGCACACAGCTGTTTACGGGAGGCAGTGCACTTATCAATAACACCATAAAACCTGAAATACCACTGAATGCACAGTGACCTCCCTCATACATTTCTGGAAAGATGCATCTGAAGTGAAATTAAATCACTTTTATGAGGGGATGAAAGGGATTACTCCCAAGGGTCTTCTATTCTCGGACACAGTAAATGCAAAAGTTGGATCACTTTTCAGTGCTCATATACTTTTTTGTCCTCCTCCCCCTCCCCCGTTTCTCGTGCAGGTTTTTAGTCGCCAATACTCCTCCTTTACTGATTCGCCAGCCTAAATAAACACTGAGAAATTATATATTAAAGATTCATACGTTTAAGATTGAACATCACATACATTTAAGAGAAAATTTGTATTTTAATTAATTTGTTTAGCTTTATATTTTTAATCGTCTAAGAAAGAAGCGTGTATTTTATGTCATTTTATGTCACTATATTACTAAGTAGCATTTAGTGGCCGTTTAATGTGTAAGAAAGTTGTGTGATACAGGTGCAGGAGAGCAGACCAGCTGACTGAGGAGCAGGAGGAGGGGCAGGCAGGCTGGCCGAGGTCCTGCTGCGCGCCGACACTGAGCACACTTGAACGGAGGGAAGCTGCGACGCGCACCGCTGCTGCTGGTTCTGAGCCCCCGGCAGCCATCAGACATTCACCTGTCTAGGAGTTTAGCTAGCAAGCAAAAACAAAGTGTCTACAGTAATAAATTAAAGATAGGAGCTGTAACTAGTTGTTGCAGTTGCAGGTTAAAAATGTCTATCTTACCGTTCACCCCTCCAGTTGTGAAGAGGCTTCTTGGCTGGAAGAAAGGAGAGCAGAACGGACAGGAGGAAAAATGGTGTGAAAAAGCTGTCAAAAGTCTGGTGAAGAAGTTAAAACGGACGGGACAGCTGGACGAGCTGGAGAAGGCCATCACAACACAGAATGTCAACACAAAATGCCTAACTATACCCAGGTAAAGACAAACACAGAGCGCTGACTGACTGCCTCTGAATAAGTGAGCTAGCAAGCTAATGCTGGTGACAGCTAGCGTTAGCCCAAGCAGCTAGGTAGTTAGCTTGAGTTGATATTAGCAGATGTTTGTATTTAAAGCAACTCTATTTTATAGAGAGCAAAGTCAAACTGGCTAATTGCCACATCAAAGACAACATAAAGCGTTTGATGTTATGACATGGATTTTGATTGGACCCGCCGCCAGAATAAAACCAATCGTGCATTGTATTTAGAGCTAACATTAGCTCTATCATATTAACCCGTTTTAAATAGATACAATTTTGTTCTGCAGATAGGGAGGACACAATTGGTACTCATCGGTCTTAAATATATATATATATATATAAATATATATATAAATATGTATAATTGCCTGGTAGCGTTAAAGGAATAAGATGGTGTGTTTCAACCCATATATTAGAGTCTGTTATGTTATTTTCCAGCATTAGTTTGCGCAACGATATGATCTGTAGTAAGACCAGCTGTGCAGCATGTAATTGTGAGGCAATGCTGTAGTAGTGAGTGTTTGTCACATCTCCGAGCTAGCTTCACCTGCTGACATGGTAACTAGTGCTGCATAAATATGTCCACAGTTCACACATGTGATAAACGGAGAGGGAGTGGTTTGGCTAAGCTGGAGCTTGACTCATAGAGGATGTTTAGACTGTGTGTGTCTGTGCTCTGGGAAAGTTATAATAAGAGTCCAGTTTGGGATTCCCCATATGGGATACCCATCTGTATTAGACCTGCACAATTTGTCAGACATATGAGGTGGACTCACTGGGTGTGACACATCACATTGGAGCCACATAGTTGTATTACCGGTGCTTTGAATGAGTGCACAGAAGTAGACTGATTAGGCACAACATAAAAATCCTTAGTGAAATACTTAACTCTGATCATTTTGTCAGACTGCAGTGTTTTGGTGGTTGCTGGGATTCATGCGGACAGCACTTTGACATGTAACACCATCTTAAACATGATTACTTACCTCACTCATCTGGTGGCAGTGGAATCCCTAAGCAGGGACACACTCCACAACATAAAAAAGCAGTTCACAAATGTCTCAACCTGGCATCACACTCCCTGGATTCTTTCCAATCTAATCAAGCATCAGTGGGCAAGAACAGGCCTGATGAAGGAAGACTTTATTCCAGCCTAAAGGGTCTCCTGTCAGTGTCCTGGTGCCAGACAGTCCTGGACATCCCCAGAGGTTTCCCAAAGCTGTTTTGTCTGTATGCTGGGTCCTACCCAATATTAGGAAGGTGTTTTTAAGCGTTAAGACAACTCAGTGCATGTGTGCAGTTAAATATGTTTACTCATAAGTAAATGTGTTTACTTATTGTATACAGTCTTCAATCAAAGGACACAAGTAGCCCCTTTCCCTTATAAAGATTTCCCCTTAATGACTAGGTTTGACACCTCAGTATATCGAAACAGACCTGGTTTTGTGACTATTGGGTTCCAAGTGTAGCTGCATAGGCAGAGACCATCCCCATTAACCTCTGATGCACGCCCAATCATTTTGTTCTATAAGCAGGCCTGAAATATGAAAGAACCACTCAGTTCATAAAAGAGATTAAAGGGTTACTCCTTGTCAGCTTTCTGTGGGTAAGGAGTTAACATAATGAATGTTGTTACCATGACCTTAAGACCTGTGACAGTCACAGAAAAAATTTGGACCTTAAGCCCCTACTTATTTTATGGTGGCATTTTGCTGGCATGCTTTGGGTCACCTTATCCCTTTAAAGTGAAATGTTATACAACTCAATACAAAGTTGGTTTTAATGATCACTTTATCTTATGATAAAACATTTCAAAATGGCAGTATTCAATTCCAGAATGAGTGTTTCCCTGTTGGCATGAGTGATCAGTAAACGGTTTGATGAGTGTCAAAATGGTGTAACTCATAAGCTATGTCTTTAAAATCAATTCAGGTCTCCAGTGCCACAATCAAAACACCAAAACAAGATGTAGCATTTTAAGAATGGTGTCCCGTCCGTCCAGTAGAGGCCCAGGGACTTAAGGGGTGTCCTGACAGGAAGAGACTGGCATAAATTTAGTGGGGGTCTCTGTGGAATGTCAGTAAAATTTAGACAAATGTAGGAGTGAAAGTTGATCTAAAGCAGGGGTCTTGAACTCCAGGCCTTGAGGGCCGGTGTCCTGCAGGTTTTAGATCTCACCCTGGGTCAACACACCTGAATCAAATGATTAGTTCATTACCAGGCCTCTGGAGAACTTCAAGACATGTTGAGGAGGTAATTTAGCCATTTAAATCTGCTGTGTTGGATCAAGGACACATCTAAAACCTTCAGGACAGCGGCCCTCGAGGACTGGAGTTCGAGACCCCTGATCTAAAGGTTAGCAGTACAAAGTGGTTGGTCAGAGTTTAACCTTTTTCAAGTTAGAGGCGAGCCCATTGAAGCAGCTGCTGATTGACAAATTGGGGAGTTGGTAAATACATAAGCGTGTTGTCTAACTGGAACATGGAATGTCTCTGTCGACCAACCATAAGCTATGGAGTGATGAACACTGAGTGAAAAACTGCTATATTATGCCAGGTTGTTGCTACAGGTATAGCAATGACAGTAAAGACATTGGTATAACACAAAGCCTGCTATTTAAAAAGATTCTTTGTTTCTTTAGCTTTTGTTCCCACATAAAACAAATGGGGCTGTTCCACACCTTTTTTTCCTCTTAATAATTAGTACAAAAGGAGCTTCAGTGACCTTAACAAGCCTCCAGAAATTTTTTCCAAGCCCTAAAAGGCAGCTTGTAGGCCTGATTGCTAACAAAACTGGGAGTCTCCCATCACAGTAAGTGTGGATGTCAAAGCATGGGTGGTAACCTACATTAAAACCTTTTTCTCAGTTGTTGGGAATGTGCTCTGGGCTCTAGGGAGGGCGTGGGCCACTGTTTGGATTGTGGTTCAAGTTGTCAGTGGGTTCATAGACAGTAGACTTTACAGAATAACAGCTGTGTTGCTATCTGTTGGGGATAGAGTGACTCAGTGATTCTGTATTGCAGCCAGCCTGCATTGTGCTGTACTTTCATCACCTCCTCTAATGTGGCGTGGAGAGAAAGGGGTTGTGAGCATTTAGAGTGGTCAAGTGCTTGCCTGAGGTGCTTGCACCTAGAATGAACTTAACCAGCAGGAAATTATTATGTACCGAAATGTCAAAACTGTGAAACTAAGGGCACCACAATTTTCTGGCATCCATGACTGATTTTACAACACCCACAGTAAGTAGAGTAAAAAGTATGAGCTTACTGCAAAGGTTTGCCTTTTAACTGGTCATGTTAAAAAAGTTATCTTCATTGGTATTATAATGTAAACCCCTCTTGTTTACTGTGGATTTCAAATATATTGGTAATGGGTTGTGTTTCTTGCCCTTAGGTAAGCATTTAATTAATGCCACTGTTAAAATAATTCAGTTACAGTTGATGGAGTTTTGTTAATGTATAAAAAAATGTTTTTGGCATCATCCAAAAACATTTTTGCCTATTATGAAATTATACTAATACTTACTTTTAACCTAGATAGCATTCACTCAAGCAGAAAATACATTTCTCTTTATCAAATGACCACAAATAAGAGGAAATTGCAAAAACTTAGTTTAAATAAGGCAAAACATCTGGGTTAGCTTAACTTAGCTTAGCTTAACATGTGGCAAAGCCATGCTTGCGAGCATAATGGGAAGCCAGAAACAACCCTGATTATTTAAGATGGTGTGAAACCCGACATTGATAAAAGATATCTTATAAAACCGGACATAGACAGTATGTCTGTTCATATTCTTGCATTTGTTAGATTAATATTATTGTTTATTACACTATATTGGCTATAGGATCATTTTGAATTATTGACCCTCAAGTTCCATACTGGTGCATCGTTGTATAAAACTGCATAAATGCAATGAAGGGACTTGTGTTTTGGTTAAAATGAACAGATGTAAATAAAAACTGAGCAGCTGGTGATACTGAAATCCTAGGTCCATATAGTGTGTGTCTTAACTAGTAGGCCACCAGATGTCCCTTAACAAAGACAAACGTTGTTAACATTTTTTTAATGCGCTTCTGCAGATGCAGGCACTTTGCGCTGCACTTGCATTTATTTATGTAGTATAATCAGCTGGTTGTGGTTGCTTCTGGAGTTGGAGTCTTTGACAGAAATTGGTTTGTCTTCTACCCGGGGGGGTGCGTGATTTGGTTGGTAGTGTGATGCTCTATCTTCCTGGCTGGTGGATGTACTGTTGTTGTATATTCAGCTGAACAGGAAGGTTGCCTGAACTGGCTGTGTGACAGTGGTCATCATGTCAGAGTGGCAAACCAGGGAGACAGAAACTAGCCCAGGCCAGCCTCTCAGCTGAGGCTTGCAAATGCTGACCTAAGCTGACCCAGGAAATAATGCTGGAGGTCATCATAAGGAGGACTGGAGTTCTTCCTATTTTTTAAATACCTGATTGTATCAGGCTAATGAAAAGTAAGCTCTGTTACTTACTGATTATAGTAACAATATTGGCAACTGGACCTTGTTTTCACTCGTCTTAAAATGAGATTTTGTCACTCATTGCTTTATTTGAAATCTTTAACAATGGGGCTCTTGTTTTTTCATTTTAGCTTCCAGTCGTTCCACTATTTGTCATTTTAGCTACTGGAAAAAACAGAAGTGCCATCCTCTGTTCTGGTTGCACATTTTCCTTGAAGATTTTGCCCCCATTGTGAGGCAAAATTGCATAGTGAACACAAGGCTTATAGAGAACAAAATTGTGGATATTGTCATTATACTAAACCATTAAAATTCTGTGGTCTGTTTTGTTTGACTGAAAGATAAAACCACCTTTTTAGGTATTGCATTGCTAACTGGGCCTCACTGGGTCCTTGTGTGTCAGTCTCACTGAGCATCTCTACATGAAGCTACAAAAATGACAAGAATCTACAGTCCTCATTAAAATAGAGGACATTTTTGAGACTCTTGTATAGCTGTTACAAAAACAGTCTTGCAGAATGTGTCCTGCAGATGGTATTGCTTTCAAGGAGCTCTGGTTTTAACATGGAGGAGGTCTGGAATTACATGAACAGACTGAAGACATTGTGGCAGTTTCTCGAAGATGCCTGTCTCTCACCAGGTGGCTTTAAAAAAAAAAAAAAAACCTTGTCAGAATTGGAGCTGTTATTTATTAGTGTTATGTCTTAGTTCAGCTTGGGTGGAGAGAATCAGGATAGAACCTGATTTTGGTTCTATCCTGGTTTTGGTTCAAAATAAGATGTATGAGCCACATTGTGTTGTGATTCAAGAGGGACGAGCTGGAGGGACAGTAGGTCATGTGAGTGTTGAAAATGAAAAAGAAAATACCACATTTTTCCATAATGTGAATAACAAAAGAACAAGTAATGTGTGCACAATGTGAGCAGAGTGTCTGTTATTACGTCTCTAAAACAGTGTTAGTAGTGCCTGTTATCCCAGGTAGTAAAGAGTACCTTAAAGACACATACATCTTCTTAGTGTCTTGCAACATCAACAACTAAATCAATGTTCAAGAGACCCAGAAGGTTGGTGGGTTACATTAAATCACAGTGCAAAGGAACATACATGCTGGACTTAAAAAGGGCAACGCCCAAGTAGATTCACTGATTAACTTTGTGTGCTGGATCACTCCAATCAGCAGTGAGTGTAGACAGGAAGCAGAGTAGGTCGTTAGGCCATTCACAGTTGAGGGAGGGACAGCACAGCAGAATCTACATTGGGTCAAAAAACTCATCATTGAAGAAAAAAAAGGTTTTCCTGTTCATTTAAGAAGTTAATACATAAAAAAATTATTTGTGCACCTAAAATTTGGCCAAAGAATGAAAACCACTTTTCATGTTGCACAGCTCCACAATAAACTGAAATGTTGTTAAGTCATCAAAAAGTTACCCCACACTGAGATTCCAAGACAATCCTTCCTTTGCATTTTTTTAAAATTTCAGTTACATGAGGGTATACATAGGTTTACACTACAAAGGTACCTTAACATCCTAGGACCTAGCGTCCACATATGTGTACATCACATTTTTGGTTATTTAGACCCAAATACTCAATTTTGCTCTACAAGGGCCTGATATCCACTTACGAGGACATTATACTGCTACTGTTCTATTGAAATTTTAAACAAATATCCTAATTTTTGGCTCTCATTTTTCTTAGAAACGAAAATTTGGTAAAAAAAAAATCTGGTAATTCTTTATTTTTACATTCATCGGGCCCCAATATGCCCAAATATCAAAGATAAATTAAAAATGCATGCTGTGGAAGAGCTCGGGTCTTAGGAGGTTAAGTACTTGAATATTATTATTAGTTTTAATGAAAACTGCTTCATGGTTGGCCTTTTCCACTTCAAATGTAAAAATAGACATTTACATTCTGTTATTATTAGCCCAGGTGTCAGTAGAATTGGGGCCCTGTTTTGTGTTTGGACATATTTTGTGAGCTGTATTGAAGATGAAAAATATTTTCGAGTAACAATTGAGGGTAAAGCAGCACAGAGTGACTAAATTTAATCTGCATGTTTTATATTTCGACCGTGATGTCTTTCAGGTCTTTGGATGGACGTCTGCAGGTTTCCCACAGAAAAGGTCTTCCTCATGTGATCTACTGCCGCTTGTGGCGCTGGCCGGATCTGCAGTCCCACCATGAACTCAGAGCTGCTGACCACTGTGAATTTGCCTTTCACACCAAGAAGGATGAAGTATGTGTCAACCCCTATCACTACCAGAGGGTGGAGACACCAAGTGAGTGTTCTTAATTGCTGCGTGTTCCACATGATTGTAGTTAAATTAAAGCTTTCTCCAAACTGGGTACAGAACTGATCTGATCCACTGTCTCCAGTTTTGCCTCCCGTTCTAGTGCCACGACATACAGACATCCCTGCCGAGTTCCCACCACTGGATGACTACAGCCCATCCATCCCTGAAAACACCAATTTTCCCGCTGGCATTGAGCCCCAGAACAACTATATTCCTGGTGAGGGAAAAAAAGCAAAAAACACATCCCACTCATTCTTGACTCGGTCTCTAAATTATTTTTCTCAGGGATGATTTAGTTTGTGGCTCATGCCCCAAAAATGTTGTTCCTGAGTGCGGTTTTTATATTATATTAAAATATTGTATTTGTGTAGTTGTATCATAGAAGCAGTTTAAACACGCAAAAGAACAACGGTGTGTGCTTAACCCATATGTTACAGAAACTCCCCCACCAGGGTACCTGAGTGAGGATGGTGAGACAAATGATCACCAGCTTAACCACAGCATGGACACAAGTGAGTCACCTGACTGTACACACACCTGAAGCTTATACTACTCTGATTACAGCTTATAATGGTCATGAACCCACCTTCTATTACCACTCTGTTTCAGGTTCACCCAGCCTGTCACCCAATCCTGTATCCCCTGCAAACAATAATCCTGGTAAGTGACATCAGTCAGTCAAGTTTACTCAGCTTTAGCTCCTGGACATATTTTAAGTTATGTGCGCCAATAGAAATATCAGCCATTCGTTTAAAATCCAGTGTTTAATCTGGATTTGAAGTTTTTTGCTTGTTAGGAAAAAGCTTATTACACCCTCCAAGATATATGTATATATAACAAAACTGAGCAGTAACAGAACTGCCCAATAGTGAATGGGGAAAAAATTGATGATAATAATAATAATAATAATAATAATACTAATAATAATAACTTTATTTATAAAGCGCTTTCAAACAAAGTGCTGTACAACTATTTGAAACTAAAAAGATAAAAAAAATAAATAAATAAAATAAAAATAAAAGCGATACATAGCAATACAGGTAAAAGACACAATACAAGTTAAAAACAGTAAAAATTTAAAAACTAAAAGCCATAGAATTAAGACTTGTAAGATAAGACGTGTAAGATATTTATAAAGAAACTTTATAAATATTATTACCAAAGTCAAACCTGTAGTAATGATATCATTAAAAGTACAAGTGCTGTAATAGAATATTTGCACTTATTCATGTGTTAGAGCCTGTCATCCCTAAAGTGTGTGTCATGCAACAGAGCCTATAAAACACATTGAATGGTCAAATTTGAGTAGCACAAGGGATTTAACTGTTTTTTTTCCTCCATATGTTTGTCTGTATTTGGAATAGTAGAGATGAGAAGTTGGCAAAAGAGCTATTTAGTTTTCAAACCGTTAAAATGGTCAAAGTTCCTTAACTAGCATGGATGACAATAATTTAATTAGTCTTGCTTTTTTCTCTTGAATTCACATGAAAACTGAATTTTTTCAAACACTAAGTGGTCTTTATTTATTTCTACAAGGTAACTACCCTTTTCTGATTTTCTTTATTTGGTTAGTGTAATTGACAATTCCAGTCACCACAACTGATGCACAAACTTCGTGGACAGTCTGTACTACCGTGCAGGCCACTTTATCTGTCAGACAGTTCCATTGTCATCTTTCAAAAACTACACACACTACAATTACAGTCAAAAGGTACATTTCAGTAACTTAAATTAGAAGAGGCAGTCAGCTATAGTGGCTGTGATTGCTTTTATTGCCCTAGCTCTCACTCAAAGTGGCTAAACACCTCATTTTAAAGTCTCCAAAAAAATTCACTATATAAGATATATTAAGAAAAAACATGTGTACAAAATTTCGTCATTAGTACAGTTGTTAAGAAGGTGCAAATTAGCTGTTAAGTGAAACATTTTCACATGGGAATCCATCTCTCTTGTTGCAGCCATTGAAGCAACTGTATTTTATGACACTTCTGCATTGGATCAATGCATCACTTGCATTACTATCCTTGATTTAAATAAATATAACATTGTTATTTATTTATTTATTTTGGGGGGGTTGGTGTGTTTGAATGTCTGTTTATGAGACTGATGAGCAATGTACGCACACACTTGAGTGAGTGGATCGTGTCTGGCTTAGCTTCAGGGCAGTAAGTATGGTATGAATGGAGTCTTTGTGTTTGCTCTGTTCTTATGTGTGGAAAAACCAGCTACACGCAGCTTTAAGATAATGCAGTAAATGTCTGCGTGGCGGGTTATTCTATGTGGAGACAAACTAGGAGGTCCTTGTTTTGTTTTGCTTTTTAAGAAACGTATTTCATGTCTGGCTGAGGTTATGAAGGTCATGGGAAAGAGCTTTTGGAGAGGAATCAAAGGAAACCTTGTCAGGACTTGGTCATGATGCTGCACCTTCAGCATCAATTTGATGACAAAGCTGTTCAACTATTTAATTTTTTCATCATGGAAATAGATTAAACCTGTAAATGTCTCTTTGTCTTACCAGACTTTCAACCTGTGACATATTGTGAATCTGCCTTCTGGTGCTCCATCTCCTATTATGAGTTGAACCAGCGTGTTGGAGAGACCTTCCACGCTTCACAACCCTCCCTTACAGTAGATGGATTCACAGATCCCTCCAACTCCGAACGCTTCTGTCTGGGCTTGCTGTCAAACGTCAACCGCAACTCAGGAGTAGAACTCACACGCGGACACATAGGTATTAACTGTATTTCAAAGGGACGGCATAAATTTGTTCTGATTATATGTGAAGGTTGTTTTATGCTGAGCTAGCTTTTTTTTCTCCTCTTTTTCCAGGTCGGGGTGTGAGGTTATACTACATCGGGGGTGAGGTGTTTGCAGAATGTCTCAGTGATAGCGCCATCTTTGTCCAAAGTCCTAACTGCAACCAGCGCTATGGGTGGCATCCTGCCACTGTGTGCAAAATACCTCCAGGTCAGCACAACATGCATACAAACACAAACTCATTAAAGGCAATATAACCAGAGTATGACTGTATAACTGTGTTCTTCTGCTCCTGACATTTATTTTATTCTCTGTGCTAGTAAACCTGATAATAAATATTTTGTTGCTAGGCTGCAACCTGAAGATCTTCAACAACCAGGAGTTTGCTGCGCTGCTCTCTCAGTCAGTCAACCAGGGATTTGAGGCAGTCTACCAACTCACCAGGATGTGTACTATTCGGATGAGTTTTGTTAAGGGATGGGGAGCTGAGTACAGGTAAATATTTTACTATTTTTCTTATATAACTTACAAAGTATAAGATATTGTTACATTTGCCTATTATTTGACTGACAGTAAAGTAATACGTGAGAAGGACCGATGTCATGTTGTAGTGGCGTAAATGTGGTAATATGGTGTTCTGAAATGGTAGAGGTTGTGTAGTGATTAAAATAAATGTCATTTTCTGGTTAGGCCATTTACAGGTAGTTAATAAATGTCAGTGTACTAAATATTTTGGCTGGTAGATGGCCTGCTTAGAGGTCAGAAGACAAGTTAACATTTAACTGACCCAGCTAGTGAGTAGCTCGTATTACTCATGTTTTTCAAGTCTCTGCTGTGCATTTTTTTTTTCCTAAACTTGATGTGGAAACTTAAATTGTACACGGCATATACAATCAAATTGAGGTTCAGTGAGTCAACATTTTGTTTATTAGGCAGTAAAATGTTCCCTCTGTTTGGGAAACATGCGGACAATTGAATCCATTGTAGAACTTATTACACAAATGAATGCACATTATTCCAAAGAGGTTGTTAAACATCTTCATTCATAATTGGAGAAGTGAGGAATAAAAGAAGAAAAACATGACTTTGGGTTGTTGACTGAAGCCGACTTTTAACAGGAAAAGAAGGTGATGGGGGATGGTGTAACTGTGACTCTGTAAGAGAGGAGGAAGAATGCAGCAGGCATGCAGTAGTGAGGGGGGTATGAAGTGGGGTGTGGACATATTTCTGACTGCCTCTGGAAGGGGGATTCCCACTGGACTATGAATGGTGCGTGTTGTATTTCTGGCACCAAACACCTTGGAGAAAAACATCCTCGGAGATACTTGAATGGCTTCAGAAATAGCCCAGAGCTGGCATCACTGTTCGGGAAATTCTTCCAAAAATATGGACTGCATAAGCTATAAGACAACGACTGTTATAATATAGTACAGAAGAAAAGGTTCAGCAATGACAGAAATGTGTGCTTTCGTTCTTTGTGTTCTGCAGACGTCAGACAGTGACCAGCACCCCCTGCTGGATAGAGCTACATCTTAATGGTCCCCTTCAGTGGTTGGACAAGGTCCTCACACAGATGGGCTCCCCCAGCATCCACTGCTCTAGTGTGTCCTAGGAGCAGCCCTCCTTCCCATCCACACTCAAACCCCCCATAGGAATCAATCCACAGAAACAGCATTTCCCCTGCTGTGTTTGACATTTCTCATCACATGTACAGCACTGTCTTTAGTGTCATTTAGTGTCTCAATTTCATGGTCATTGTAGGACATTTTTATGGGTTTTATTATTTTCAGAAGACAGAAATGCATCTTCATGATTATTCTTTTACATATTATGTCCATCCTTCCTGTTAATTAACTTTACATTTCACAAAGGAGACTGAAATGTTTGTTTTCCAAGTTGGAAGATATGCAGTTTCAACTTGGCCATCGACATGTTTTAAAACATTTTTGATTCTATGAATTAATCAATATTATGAATAAGCCTTTAGTGTCCCAGCAATCACTGAATTGGGAAGCTTATTTATTAAACAAACGATAAATTAACATGAGAAATGTTATTTATAGTGACAGAATATATTTCATTAATATTTTAAGTAGAAGGTACTTTCCTTTATTGATTTATGATCAATAAAGAAACCAATTATCTGATCAGTGAATTGGTATTTTGTCTAGTTTTAAAAAAAAAACAGTATCAGTGTTTCTGATATAGAGCCCTTGTATTAAAAGTATTTTGCTCAATGAAAGAGACATTTTCTAAGTTATTTTTGCATATTGTCCTGCATGAGAATATATTTTTCTTATTGCCTAAATATGATTGTACATAAATATTTATAGCTTGCGTAATCTGCTAGTCATCCATTGCTTGAAAGAGTGGATCAAAGTGAACTCTGGCATGGGTGGATTCACAGTAAGACTACTTAGATGAACTTTTCAGGTGAGTTGGTTCTGAAGTGTGGCACAGGAATACTGTATCAACCATTAGTGTTATTTGATAACAGGCTCGATGAGTCATTATAGTAGACTGACTGAATCTGGACACTATGTGACTTGAAGTATGAAGTGTACAGTGACCAAGGTTGTGTTCATCTGTTGTTGGCAGTGTGGAGTGAAAACAACAATGCAGGTCTTCTTATGTATTATCAATTGTTAACCAATGGTACACTATGCTCCTTATGGGTAAATGATGCATTTCAAGTTTATTGTGTCACTTTAATGGTTGTGGTAATTTGCTTGTCCACTAAATACTGTATATTACATGTACATTACAATATAAGGCATGTGTACTATGCTCACTGTCCTTGGTCGTTGTCTAAGACGTCACCATGTTAATCCTGCACTCACTCACAGTACATAAGACTGAGTCACCAAGTAATCTATTTAAAGGAGTTACACGGTGCTGAACGGAAACACTGTACTACACAGTACATTAGGTATGTAGTAGGTCTGTATCAGTACTTGAGTTCCTTGATATTCTTTTAGTGGTTTTATGATCCAAGTCTTATGTTTTTGTTTTTTAATGTAGACTAATATTTGTTCTCAAATGTCTAGAATTATCTGTGAAATTTTAATAAATTGCAAAACAGTAAAAAAGAGGGCTGCTTCTCTGTAAAAGGAATTATGTATGAAATATAAATGTAAAAAGAACAGTTGCCTCACAGCAGCTGGGGCATTCATTGTACCACTAAATTGACCCTTTCTGTGTTAGGGGTGGCGACCTGTCCGGGGTACACTCTGCCTCTCATACGTGACCCTGCACCAAGGAGTAAAGTTGCTTGTTGAAACATTATTATACACCGTGACAAAAATTTGAAATTGATATACATAAAGTGGATAAGTGTCCTGTAATAAATTATATCATCAGGAAACCTGTAGAGGTGACGCGACACTCTTTTGCTAAACGGCATAGTTTGTGATGGTATGTATGTAAAGTATAATATATTTTTAAATGTGCTTCTCTACTCATTAAGGCTTGATAAAATATTAGAAACTCCCCACTGCACTACATCTAAATTACTTATTTACTGCAGAGTTAATCGCAAAGCACAATACACATATCCTTTTATTTAAGTTGAATAGAGATTGTGAACCCATGTGAGTGTTCACAACAAATAAACCATACTAACTAAAAATTAAAATCACAAGGTTTTGTGTTAATTTATTCCAGTGTGCATTATATGTCTTTTTAGGATAAGGCACATCATTTACCTTTAAAATATATGTATCAATGTACCTAATAACAAATACACAAACCACATACATTTCATGTCTTTCCCCACCTTCAACGCCATCACGTGCTGAGGTTCACTTAGGGCTAAAGTATAGTGAGGAACCCAGGGGAGTAGATTGAGGATCAGGGCCACTCATTTGCTTTTCTTGCAATCAGGAAATCCCATCTGTTTTTTCAATACATCATTTCATGTTAAGAATCCACAGTTTCTAAATATACCAATGCCTACAGTGCCATCTGTAAGCATCTCCACTTTCCAAGTGCAAGCAGGATGTCACGGGATGCTGAATCTTGTGGAAGCCCCAAGAAAAACAGGAGGATCAGGTGAAAGGAGTCCAAGTTACAGCCAGCTACTTTTAGCTTTCTTCTCCCGATGATAACCCATCTATCTCATCTTCATCACCACCGATGGCCATCCAAAATGCTTTTGCCACCTAGAAAGCAGATTGTGGGTAAACAGTTCATGTATTGAACTAATTAAGGGTTAAATTAAAGCACTCTAAAGAAAAAAAAAACTTACCTTTTCTGCGTGAACTTTTCTCTGCTCGTGGGGTAATGAAGACGCTTTGTCTGTAGGTTTAAAATAGAGAAGACCAAAATCATCAGTCAGCCACAATGACATCAGGTGCACTGGTATCCAAATATTTGAGCACTCCTGATGAAAAGTTGATTTGTTGTTTTTTGTTTGTTTGTTTCTGAAACCTTGAATGCAAGACTAGAGTTTTTGTGCAATGTAAGCATTCCAAAATCTTAGTAATCTCAGAAATCCTGAAGGTAACTAGCTTGTCTGTGCTTTGGCTTGTTCATAGTTATTGTTCTGGAAACTTGGGCAATGCACATTTCAAGACTTACATACATATTCTGACTCCTAAAATATTATTCCTACAATAATCAGCCATTGGGTCCTCTACTAAGTAAGAGCGCCTTGTCTTTTGAAGATTAAAAAATTTATGCCCACAATTTAGGATATGGCTTTAAGGAGGCCTTTACTCAGCTGGAACTGGAATTAATGGAAATGATTTACTGTACTTAAAAAGAAAGGAGGGATATCAAAGTGATGTCTGGAAAACAAAGCAAAAAAAACTTTTTAAGAGATCTACTCGTAGGATTGCTAGAATCAAAACCCTGTGATGAAAACAAAGGAACTTCAGGAAAATTGAGCAGACTGTGCTTTAATCTACTTGTACAACCATGACCTTCGTGGAAGAGATAATTAAAAGCATCAGAAGTTTTCAAATGAACATCTAAATAAACCTAATGATCTCTTTAACTATTAAGCATATGGGTGGATGGCTTGTGTTACAGCCACTGGCACAAGATAGAGGAACGATGGATTCAATTATACACCACAAATTCTGCACTGCAGTATCTGCAAACAAAAAGTTCAAGATAAAAAAAGATGATGTTGTTTAACAACATTTTAACAATCCGAAAAACACCTCAAAATCCAACAACAACTACTGAGTGACGAACACTGAAGATTTGTCAGTGGTTCTTGAAATTTCCTGAGCTAAACATCTTCAACAGTTGATGGAGTTTAAAGAAGCTGTGCAGGACAGAACAAAGATCTGACAAAACTGAAAGATGTTTGCAAAGAAAGGGTGAAAATCCAACAAACAAGAATGCATCAAACTATTTTGAAAATATAATGAAAACAAAAGCTAAATACATTAAAGATGCTCACTTAGCTATTCAAAGTGAGACAAATGTCTCTACTCTATAGAAAATATTTAACCTCCACAGGGACAACATACCTTTAAATAAAATTTTAAAAAAGGGGAAAAAAAGAAAGAAAAAACAAGATTTGCATATCTTTTTTAAAATTCCCTCATTTACCTTTCATCTCCTTTAATTTGGTAAAAAGCCGTTCAAAGTTATCAACATCTACATCTCCAGTTGTGAGGTTAGCGAGCTCCTGAATGTCCAAATCAGTCATTGCATCTGAGGGAGATCAAAAAATGTTTATACACATAACTAACAGTGCCAGCAGCAGTATTTTGAGGAATCTAACAAAAACTGATTCACAACTTAGTAAAGAAAATTCTATCACAAGGCATTTGCTTACCAACTACTGCCTCTTCCTGTGTGTCTGTATTTGTAGTACTTTCTGTATGGTTAGGCTCCTCATTGTTAATGGTGCCCTCTACTGGTAAGCTGGAAGACTACAAAAAAAACAAAAAACAGCTTGGATCAGCATGCCTCCACAAAAACGACTTAAAAAAAACATAAATTGAAATTGTATTGATTCAAGTAAGCAAGCAAGAAAACGCATAAAAAAAGACTATTAAAAACCTAAATAAAGCGATCAATATCAAAAAAGGAAAACTCCACTGACTGGTGGATCTTGGCAAGTGCGTGGGTTGTTATGTCTGGAAGCCACCAAACTGCTCATCAGACCAAAGCCCTGATTGTGCCCTGTTAGAGATGTAAACTGTCACATGCCATACATACATACACAGAGTATGTAGTAGTTAAATAAAAGGTTATGTCATCTTACCATCCTTCATTTCCACGCTGGACCACACATTTGCATTGAGAGCCTGAACAATTCTCTTTACACCTGTGGATTCTGGAAAGTCGTCTGATAGAGAAAACAGAATAGTGTGAATGCGGGTGAAAATATTATCAAAACACAAAGAATTGAGATATAAATCTGGGTGATGTCACTGCTCATTTCTCCCATTTGAGAAACTCACCATCCTCATCTGGGAGCTCCTGAGGATTGAGTTCTACAAGCTCAAATGCATGAGCCAAACACCACTGCTGCGCTTCATGTCTGGTGACTCCTACAACATAAATTAGAAGTTGTATACCCCACAACTTGTATGTAAGACAGTGTTTTCTGCAAGCCACATGCAGAGCAGAAAAAACTGACCATTTTCACAGACTCTGTCACAGACCAGGATGAGCACCTCTGGAGCAAGATCTTCCACTACCGGGATCCAAGGTTGTAGCTTTTGCAGCCCATCTTTCTGCAAACATAATGGATGATATAAAGGCATGAAGAAACGTGCTGTTTAGACTTATAAATATAACTTCTTATGTCACATACCGCTTTGCTGTCAAAATAAGCGATGAAAGCTTGCATGGACTGGGCAATCTCTGACGACATGTGAAAAGTGCTTGATACAACACAGAGACTGACATCTGCCGTATAATACTTGTTGTTGATGGTCCAAGGGTACCAGAACACTGTTTCTTCTCGCTTTGTCGGCTCGGGTAAAGTCTTCGTACTGAGGATTTCTGAGGCAAAAACAAATCTGTTGATCTACACGAACAAAGACGTCAAGCTAAGCTTCTCACGGTGAAAGCTCAAACAACCGGAATAGCATTAACCTTAATTAGCATTACCATATCGCTTGTATATCAGCCTGGCGAAAGTAAAGGACATAAAATGGCTTAGACGCCTTGAAGAAATTCGCTATTAACCCGAGAAAAAGACATAAAAGGGCTTCCAGATGCTATCGCTTAGTTAGCTCTGTTTAACGTTAGCTTCCTTACTATTATGTTATTTTCACCTTAACTTACGTTTGATTAGTTCTTCTTCTTTAAACTCGCTGTCACAGCTAGTGACAAGCACACACGGGGTGGCTATTTCTGTGTTTTCTTCTGAAGCTGACATTTTAATTATAAATTGGAGAGAAAGCTTCTTCAGCTATTAGCTTAGCGTTACGATGGAAAACTTGGGAGACCTTTCAACTCTGACCGGCCTCTTCCGGTGTACGTTAAACAGTCTGGTGACGTTTAATTGTAAAAATATTTTTCGATCCATCATTGAAACTAAGTAATAATAATAATAATAATAATAATAATAATAATAATAAGGATGATGATCATGATAATTATTTAAACAGCAAAATAAAAAAAAATGCAGTCTGCGTTTATGTGAAGTGGAGGGACACTGTGAACAAATCTAACATCAGCTGATATGTTTTAGAAGGTGATTAAAGTAAAGGCCATGGTTATGTGGCAATGGGATAGGAGCATTGGGATAAACAATTATTTACTGAGACGTCTGACTGTCAAACTCCAGGAAGAAATGAGCTGCACGGTGTCTCGTCGTCAAGGTTACGTGTACCGAATCAGAAACTTTCACTGGTGACAAGCTAATTGTTTCGCTAACAGTGGGTAACTCAATGACTGTAGAAAAGTCATTGGGGTAACTAGTACAGTTCGCCATTGTGATATATATATTTCAGTTACAAACCCAGAAATAATGATGAAAAAAACGTCCGAAGTGGTTAAAAAGGAAGACAAGTCGGGAGCTGTTTCGGTTTGGGTAAAGTTTCCTTGACTTATCTTGCCTTTAGCTAAATCATCAAATTCGTGTATGCTGTTTTTAGGTCATTTTCTGGAGTATTTACATTTTATGACTGTATTGCAGGTTGAAGACGATTTACGACAACTCAAACCTAGTCTTGAGAAAGTGACTGTCAGTGAGGGAAGGACAACACTGAACACTCAGGCCTTGAACATCAGGGTGAGAAATCTTCACGCACAGTAGCATTTATATTAAATAAAGAGACTTAACTGAGTAGTTCCGATAGTTCTTACGTGTACTAAGAACTATCGGTTCTTAGTACACGTAAGAACCGATAGTTAATAAGTTCTTGACTGTCTGTAGAAACATGCAGAGGATTGTTTGAAAACAGTGAATAAGCAGCAGCTGGTTCTTCCTCCCATTGAAGATTTACAAAAAAAGACCATTTTTAAATGGTAAGTAGTATTTTTAGTGGGAATATTTTGCTCAACCATTACCTTTTTGCAAATTTGATTAAATATGTTTAGAATTCTTATGAATTTACACAGGACTCCTTGTCTGGAGAAAGTCTCAGATGTGAAGAAACAGAGAGAAAACCTTCCAGGAGCTCCAGCAGGGGAACAGGTAGATTTTTACGCGCATTCAGAAACTTTAAAAAAGGATAATAAATTACCTTTTTTCAATTAATGAGGGTGTGTACAAGCTAAACACATGCAATACGATAGGCAAGGTAAAAGTGGGCAAGGATTGATACCTTTTTTGTTTAGCAAAAATCCTAACTATTTACACGCTCATTGAAAAAATGATTAGGTACACCTGTTTGCATTAACAGCATGTAATGCAAATATCAATAGGCCAATCACATGGCAGCAACTTGGTGCATTTAGGAATGTACAAAATCACCTGCTGAAATTCAAACTGAGCGTCAGAATGGGCAAGATGATTTTAGTAACTCTGGACGTAGCATTGTTGGTGCCAGGCGGTCTGTTCTGAGTATTTCACAAATTGCTAGTTTACTGGGATTTTCCTGCACAACCATCTCTATAAGGTATACAGAGGATTGTCTGAAAGAGAGAAAATTCTCTGGAAAGTTCTCTGGATCAGAGGAGAATAGCCAGACTCCTTTGAGTTGATCCATCGCTTTACAGTTACAGTGTAACCATCTTCAGATGGCTGCTTCCTGCAGGATTATGCACCATGTCACAAAGATCGTTCACCTCAAAGTGGTTTCTTGAACATGACAATGAGTTCACTGTACTCGAATGGTCTCAACAGTCGCATGATCTTAAACAGAGCACCTCTGGGATGCAACAGATCTGTATTAGTGGCGTGATACTGTCATGTCAATGTGTACCAAAGTCTCTGAGGAATGTTTGCAGCCTCTTGATGAAACTTATGCCATTATGAATTAAGGCAGCTATGATTTAAAAGGGGATTCAACCTGGTACTGATGAGGTATACCTAATGAATAGACTAATGAGAGTGCATCTTCTATTGCAATTTCTGATTTTTTTTCCTTTCTCTGTTTCAGGATAAGTTAGCACTGAACATGTGTTTGCCAAACAAAAGATCCATTAGGCATCAGAAATCTGGGAAATCACTTACTGATACTCACAGGAAGAGAGCAAATGAGGTAAGTAATATTCCATAAATGTAGAATAACCTGTAGTTGTAGTTTGCTATCATGCACTGTAGAAACTACACAGAAAGCCATAGTTTCTTTCAAATGAAGTATAAACATGGTATTACATTTACTGATCATATACATAATATTATAACATAAACAACTCTTAATCCAGTTATTCTTATTGTGATGTATTATTTACCATAGGTGGGTCTAAAATAAACCCTGTGAACTTGCCACTTTAGTCAGCTTTTCTCTGGAGCCTTTGAATCTGTTTATGATGTCGATAGTTGTTTTTTTCTCCAAAAATTATGTGCTACAGTTTGTCGGATTGAATACTCTACACAAAGTAGCTGACAGATAATTTGCAGTGGCTTTGTAAAACGGAACCACAAAAGAGAATTTAGACTTTTCATTTGTTGCAGACATCAGGCTCAATGTTTTCTAATTATATTTTAAATGTTTTTATGGGGCATTTCAGTCTTACCGCTGGAAAGGACACCATTCAACTGCATGAAGTCTCAGCTATAATCATAGTTTTGTCAGAGTTTAATCATGAAATAATAATTATTTCCTCAGGGTATTTGCTTTGTACAGTGAGAAAAGTTTCTGCTGCACCTGTGGTGAATTAGATATCATTGTTCTTTTCCCTGATACTTACTCTCTAATCCTTCCAATAGACAGTGTGTGCTGGAGTGAAGAGTGATGGTAGTGTTCTGTATTAATAGATGCCTCAAGTCTCATGTTCAGACAGTCTGTGACGTAAAGGTCACTTGGCTTAGGGATGACATCCAGCACTTGTCACAGCAAACAAATTAATCTTTGCAAAGGTCGGCATTAGTTTTAGATCTATTTTACACACTTTTCTGATATGTTTTTGGGAATCTCTACCTGACACGAGAAACATAGGCCAAGACTGTCACTCTGATATAGGAGAGATGGAATTGCTGGCTGCAGAAAGCGGAAAGCAGCAGATTGCAGCACATCAGCATTCTTCTAAAGTAACAGGCGCCTGATTGCTGTGCTATGGGCTACTGGTTTACAGCTGTCTCAAGACAGAAGTGGATACCTGGTCCAGCATGCCAATAAGACAGCCGTAGCTTCCCCAACTGCTAACCACTGGCTCTCTGCCTGCTACCATCTCCTGCAACTCAGGCCAGCTCTTCTACTCTCCATACCCATGCCAGGCAATGAGCGTTTGCATTTTAGCAATTTTACAAAGGGTGCCACCTTTTTCCCAACCTCATCTGAAACAGATGTGTGCCTTTGAGGGGAGAATCTCACTGCACCTGGCTGCTACCTGTGGTCTGTCAAAGAGCTCAGTGGTCTGAGAAGAACAAAAGAAAGGACATTAGGTGACAAATCTGGAGGAGCACAAACTTTCTGTTTTATGAGTTGTGAAATGTTTAAATGTAGTCACAACAAATTCATACTGAAATTAGGCCAATAAATCTTGTTTTATTTTTATTGTGATCCAGTGTTATGAATTAAAATGTTTAAGGTTAACAGATTTGAATAACTATGATTGACAGTGAGTTACAGCGAAGGTCCTATTGCCAGTGGCACTTTTCTAAATTCTTAATGAATGCAGCAAACCTGTTGTTTCTGATAAAGCATGCTATCCTGAATCGCTTGTTTATACTTATTCCCCTAGAAAATGTTTTCATGTCTAATGGGACAGATGGGTTTTAATGTGGACAGTAGCAGGTAATGTCAGGCAGCATTTTGTTGGTTGTGTTTACATCTGATGTGCAGTCACTGATGTTGCAAAAATCTTCTGTTCAGGCAAAAGGTGACAGGATAATCCCTGGCTCTGTGGTGAATCTTCAAAGAGCTGAATCCAAGGGCCATCACATCCTGGTAGTCCCCAAAGAAGACTTTGGGACAGGTTAGCAGCATTTCACCACCCCTACACCATCACCTCATCTTTTATAATCAGACAAACATCTTTTGACATTCTGTGTTTGCTTAATGTTTGTGGAAAGTTTGATCAAGTCAGTAATTCCACAATACTCTATAGTGTCAAACTCCAAATCATATAAATTGTTATATTAAGTTAGTAGTATTAAGCTTAGATACTATTATATATTTTTTTAATCCTGGGAGAGGATGAACGAGGACAGTGCCAAATCCAAATTTGTGTTCTGTGTCGATCGAGTACAAGGCTGCATCTCTTTATCCCAGAGAAGATTGATATTTTTCAAAGATGGGACAGCACTCTACAGAGTCTATAGCAGTTTTTCCTGTTTCTGTCTGCTTTTTACATTAACCTTGAATTTATTTAGGGAATATTAAAAATGTCTTTTATGGAAAATGTCATTTATCTTTGCTAAAAGTTCTACATTTTAGAATACCAAACTGTTAAGAATCTGGATAAAAGTCCATCAGCTTTGCCAAAGCTATTATGTTTTTTGTCTCATCCTTCTAGCTGTTTTAGTTTTTCTTTCATGATTTTAGGTTAAATATCTCAATGACTCTGTTCTTGAAGAGATAGCTGATGCTTGATTTGACTTCTGATCACTTTTAAAATATATTCGGGTCTTTCTGTGAATTTTGCCCTGATAGATTCAAGGTCCAGGTGCCACGAACAGCCAGTATGTAAAACAAAAGCTGTCTCCACTTATTTAAGAGCAGACAAAGACTGCACACCCACTGAGACACCAGCTTTCGCCACAACTTCCAAGAGCATGGTTCCTAGAAGTCCTCAGGTACACTAATTCAAAAATAGTAGGTGCTAAAAACCAACATTTTCATGAATTGTAACACTGTTATTAATAACTAAGCTGGGTGTCTCTTACTTGTTTCCTCTTTAGAGCCTGCCTGTAGATATCCCCAGGTACCTTTTTACAATCAGAAGTGGACAGGTCGACCCAATGGCTGCAGACTTCTGTCATTTCAAGCAGTGTTTTGTTTTGTGCTGGAGCAGTGTGGTTGATGTTCTAGAGGCCCTGCAAAAACTGCTCAGGGAGTTTGCTGTGCCTTTAGCCAAAGTGAGTGGAGAGCGCCTGGTGGAGCTGAGCCATGTTTGGGATAGTGGTTGGAGTAAGGCTCCTTCAGCAATGCCTGTCCTCTCAGTGCTAGAAAACTGGGAGGAGGTTTCAGAACTCATCTCGCACCCAGGTCAGCGCTACAAGGGAGAGGGAGGCATCGAGGCCGCTGCCATCCACATCCAGTCCTCCTGGAGGCGCTACTTAGCCCGGACAGCCTACTTGTGCCACTGTCGCCGCAAGTGGGCGGCGGGCACCATTGCCATCTCATGGTTGATGCACGCTCAGCTGTGCCGTGTCAGGAAGGCCCTGCAGGCTCGGCGTTTTAGTCAGCTGGAAAACAGTCGCAGCAGAGCACAGGTGATGCTACTTTCTCGCTTCCATCTCTCTTTTACCTAATAATGCTCTGGTACCTGTTTTCTTGACTATTCTCTCAATTTCTCCAAATCCAATGAATCCATTGATATTTGTCCTTTGACTGTAAATGGATTCCTTTTCATTAAAATAAGGTTGCACATTGTGATTCTGTTTAGTATAAATGTTCTGTCTTTTACAAGGTCCAATTTGGTTTAAGGCACATGGTCATTTCTAGAACACCAAGACAATTTTAGAAATTAGGACAGAAGCCATGTAATGCTATGCCAAGATGCAGTGTTATAGACAATTGTTTACAGTGGTAAAAAATGCATTTCTCTAGTTCTTACAGTGTGAGATTTAAAGAAACAAACCCAGATATACACATTTTAGTAAAGTTTAAGGAGAAAACAAAAAGACAATGGAAAAGTGGACGGGATGAAGACAATAAATATAAGTATAGCCACACTGTAAAAGAAGACAGAAGCAGAAACAGTGGTAATGAAGGCTACAAAGCCTAGGGACAATCAGCTGATTGTCTGTTACAGTTCAAGTAATAATTACTACACATATGATGAAATTTTATAAAAATGAAATACGTGTTTTGGCATTTGTTCATTATTTGATCTCTAAAAGGGAAAGGTTTCCCCTCTCTCTCTTCTGATACTCAACATCTGATTTAATGAAAAAAATTGATTATGTATTTTCTCAGTGCCACATCATCATTTGTGTTCTTTGTCGATCAAGCACAAGGCTACTTCTCTTTACCCTAGAGAGGATTGATATTCTTATAAGATAGGACAGCGCTCTACAGTGTCTGTAGCACTTTTACCTGTTTACCAGTTTCTTACAACCTTAGATTAATTTAGGAAATATTAAAAAATTTATCTTTCTGCTTTTAAAAATGCCACACTTTTTAGCAAGTGAGCATGATTTGTGCTATTAAGTATCAATCCTGATCTAATGAACAGCTAATGAATCTTATTCCACTAGTATGAAATAAAATATATTTACATAGTCATGGCTTCTGTGTCTTTCAGTAAGCTACAAGGCAGATTTAGGTGAAGAAAATCAAATATGGTTCAGAGAATGTGTTTTATATATTGCCCACATACTGGAAAGGGATTTTTTCTTAATTCAAAAATAATATGTTACTGTGAATTTTAACGTGTAAATAAACAGTAAAGGAAAAACATGTTCTAATTGCACTGGCATAATTTAAGAGATGCAAAAGAGTGATGGTACATATAATCTACACCAGAACTGCAGTTAAAAACAAGTTCGTTTTTTGATTTGTTAGGCTGAAAAGACTGATTTTCTTCATTGAAGACTTCCAGGCTTCCCAAAGTTTATGCTCAGTATCTCCAAATATTTTAACATCTCCTTAACATGGCAGAATGCACGACGTATACTTAACTACGTTAACTTGTAATCTTAGACATGGGAAATAAAACAGTGTTTCTATTTAAAAGACTGCTGTGACAGTTCAATTGCTCTACATACGTAATATTCTGTAATCCTTTTCCCTTTTCTTGTAGATGTCATGTCTCTGTGTCATCTGGCTGAACATCTTCTAGAGCGCTGACATAATATTAATTAGTGCCTACAACTTCATTTAGTTTTACCATTACTGTGTGTGTATACATGCACTAAATGTATGTTCTCACTCTTAAAGCATTCATACCCTGGTAATTAAGCCTGCTAATCTTCCCCTGGCAGTAGCATCATGTACCTTGCTGATTGAATTAATTGTGAGAAGATGTTCCTAAAGTAAACGCTTAATTTAATTACGGTGGTATTTTATGCTTGGTTTGCTTCTGTGAGCCCAGAGAGAGATTGGCTTGATGTGTTTTAGCTATGCAGTGATATGATGATTTGTGTGTGTATGTGTGTGTGCATACGCTCTGGCGATCCCATCTCTGATCGCTCCTTTTTTCCGTCCCCAGCATCTGGCAGCCAACTGGAAACGCATCCAGTCCTTCAAGAGGACCATTATCCACATCCCTTCATTAGGTAGCTTTCTTTGCCTGCTGCACACACACACACAAGCACATCTGATCTAGCAGCAGTCACCCCCGGTCTCACCACTCTGCTGCCCCAGTCTGTGGCCCTGGTGCAGGCACTCTGTCTCGTTCAAATGACTCTCTGCAGGAAAGCACTCACAGGATGATGACAGTCCCCATGCCAGGGAACTGAACAATTTAGTCTCAATCGCCATTTAATTTGTAGATTAAGCAAATGAAAAGCCATTATGGTGAATATTTACAAGCGGCACAAAGGTCTTATTTTATTGCTGCGCAAAAAAAAGGCAGAAAAAAAAGACACAAAAGAGGAATCGCTGCTGTGTTTTTTACGCTAAACACAGAGTGCAATCTAGGATTGGTTCTTGTTCTAATTTCACCACAGCATCCACATTTAGACTGTAATCAGGCATGTGCATTGTAAATCATTGAGCGATTGTCTAAAATTATTAAGCCTAATTACTAGCAGATGGAATGCTTTATTTGCACTTGGGGTGACTACAGAGAGTGCTGTGTGAGCAAGGATAATTAGAAAGTTGAACCCCATTGTTGTTAATTAGCATGAATCCAATCATTTAATTACCTTGATTCAGTTGAGGATTCTCTCTCAGGCAGAAATCCAGACATACATGGGCTAAAATCCTGGCGGTATCACTGAATGTAGTTCAGTGGTGGCTGGACATGGTGCAGCAGGACTCCCAGCACGCGACAGGCACAGCACCTGCTAGTTATTAAGCTAAATTAATCATCGGATTGCACTACAGTGTGATTAGACTTAAGTCCCTCACCCCCAAGTCTAGTAACACGCGCATTATCAGTAGTTGTACAGAGCTACAGATTTTTAAACTGTTAGATAACATATAACATTTTTCTGACAGGATACTCTCAGAGGAAACGACTGAACTTGAGAGGCTTTGACATCCTACAGAACATCCAAATGAGCAGGTTGTGTGATATTAGAGGTAAGCTGCACTGCTTACGTTTTTTTTTTTAATTGTTCATATCTGTAAACATGCCATTTGTAAAACACTTTTTGTGTAATTGTAGATGAAAATGTGGAGGTGATCTACATATGTCCCCAGCATCTGGGAAACGACATCTTGGACTATTACACCAGCCTCCTGAAGTGTGATGGAGCCACAGATGGGGCTGATACCACGACCGCTCGAGCCTCATCCTCCGTGAGACGCTACATCATCCTCACACCTGAGGCTGTAGATTATTTCCCAGTAAGGATGACAATATTCACTAATTTATTTGCAACTTTTAAGTATTAACATGATAACAATGTGCCTTTTGAGCACAGAAATCTGCTTACTATATATTTATAGATGCCACAAGCGTTTGTAGTTTATAAATTATCCTCTAGAGGGTACCAAAGGAGGTTGTTGTTATAGCGCTACACTCTGTCTAACATTTTTTCATCTTTCTTTCTACTTGTCAAACCAAAACTCTACATATTTTGCAAGTTTTACTGAATTTAACTGAGGGTGTTTTCAGATGTTGTTCAGCAGATGATTAAATTCCATAGTGGGTGGTTTAATTAACTCATCATTACATTTAAAGGCTGTATTTTTAATAGTTCTGAGTATCTCACTGCTATAAAAGTGAAGCCGTTGCTATATTTATCTTTGCACATCCAGCCATTCTATCTATCTTATTCCATCGTTTTGCGCTAGATTGAATGTGCAACATGACATGGTCTTCTTCATTCTTTTTTATTGATTTTCCTGCTGTTTTGTTGTTAAACTGTGCCAGACGTGTTGCTGAGATGAATCACTGCTACCCATGGCTGGCAGCGCATTCTGCCAGTGACAGAAGGGATAATTCCATGTGGATCAAATAAATACAGATGTGAAGTAATTAGTTGTATTCCCAAGGAGCTCATTGGGAGCACACATTAAAGATGTGAAGGATAGGGGAGGCCTCCCACAGGCAGCTTTTATCAATTCAACCTGCTAGAATACAGGAGAGGTCAAAACCCTGCTGGCTATTTCAATAATAGATCTATTTTGTGTACACAGTGATAAATCAGGTCAAGAAACAACCCTTGGAAGAGACAGTGAAAACGCTCCGCTTCAGGAATAATCATCCTCCCCTCTTCTCTTCCAGACCCATAACATGTGCCTGTCTACACTTCTGAAGTACAGTCCACAAACCCTGAAGCACATCAGAAACCTGATCCAGGGGAAGCATGCCTATATTGTGGGTGGAATTGCCCACGTGGATGACCTGGCGGTAGCTGATGAGTTAGGGCTACCAATCCTGGGTCCAGAACCTGCTATTGCTCAACACTACAGCACCAAATCTGGAGCGAGGAGAATTTTTGTGGGGGCAGAGATCGATGTGCCACCTGGTCAAGGAAACATCTACTCGCTAAACCAGGTCAGACACCAAATACTGCATAACGCAAAGTCCTTCATCACTGCTCAGTAACAGATGAAAACATAATACATTTTCCCTCCTAATGTTTGTGTTAATTTGGTTTGCACTTCACATTTTTCAATCTTGGTCAAGCTTCATGAAACACTGGCAGAGCTTATGACTCAAAACACTGATGTGCAGCGCTGGCTCTTCAAGATTGACTCAGAGGATGGCGGCCGCGGTACAGCATATTGTGATACATGCCATCTTAGTTGCTATAAGTGGGCTCTGCAGGAGTATCATCGTTACGGTCCGGAGCTGTGGAACCCAAAATGCATTCAGGTAAAGATGTGACTCAGAGCATTATGTCAATCTTCCTGTGACTTAAAAATTTTGAGCATAATTTTACACTCAATTTTATGCAATGTTTTATTAAATGAGTTTGAATTTGGAGTTTCTGTTTTTCTTTTTTGATTAGTTTTCCTTATTACATCTCACCAAATTGATGGGTTTTTTTACTATTATATCCTGTTTTTATGGCTCTCTCCAAAGCAGTGGTTTTGCAAAAACACAATACAAATAAAGTTTATTGCGATTATTATTACAGCACCCATGAGGAATCTCCCACTTTAAGTTAACATGGTAACAACTAAATAGTTAACAGTAGCGACTGGATATTAAAGTCCAGACTGTGCCCAGGTGTTCAGAAGGAAACCCAAAAAAGGGTTAGATTCACTTCTGTCACTGAAGGAACAAAAGGTATGTCACATTAGGGTCAAAGAGATGTAATTTTTCACCTTGGGGTCAGTGGCAATGCTGATTCCCTTAGTACAGTATTTTAAACGTCATCCCAAGAGCCTCAGAACAGTAAATCAATAGATGACATTTTTTAATTTTATGCATATTTTATACATATAGATATTTCCTGAAACACACACATAACCTAGATTAACTCATCCAACAGTAACAAATCACAGTACAAATAGTGTATTTAACATACTGTTGCCTATCCGTATAGTACTGTGCAAAACTCTTGAGTCACCCCTCATTTTTATATTTTGCTAAGAAAACAAGTGCAGTGACTTATTGAAATGTCTACATACATACAAATAAATACAGTATATAAGGCATAAACAGAGTTTGTACCATTCTAACAACATTGAAAGTCAACATTTGGTATCACCTCCTTTAGGCAGACTTTGTTGCAATATGCTTCTTGAAGCTCTTCTTTGGATGTTGCAAATCAGCATTTACAGATGGTGGATCCTGACCTCCTCCGTCCATACTAACAGCAATTTAAACCAAAATCTTCAAATTTGGTTCACTGCTTTTTAAGACCTGTTGCCACTGATTTTCAGTCTAGTACTTGTGTAATTTGGTATTTGCCTGTTTCCCTTTCTTAAGAATGGCTTCTTGGCAGCAACCTTTCCACTGGGATCATTTCTGATGGGACTTTAGTAAACAGCAAATAGATCAACTAAAGTGTCAAATGTATCTCTCAGTCCCTGGCTCAGGTCTTTATTAGATTTTCTCATATTTCTTAAGGACATTACTTTCATCTGCTGTTCATGTGCTGCAGATAGTTTTTTTTTTTAGCTTTATGTCATTTTTTGTAGATTCAGTTAAAAAATTGCAAACAAATTGTGTTTATGTGACAGCAGCTAGTAAAAAAGTTCCTAAAGATACAATTTACAATTGGTTCTTTGCTGAGTTGCTTGTTATGTGGCTCAACAGAAAAAAGAAAGAAAAAAATATTCTTCTGAAGATGGCCAGTTTCAAGGACTGGACTGAAAATAAGGGAAGAAGCAACCAAAGAAAAACTTCAAAAAGTCTAGAGAAATATTGCTCAAGATCACTTAGGAAATTAGGAGAAAATACATCCTTTAAAACTAAATCAAAAGAAATAGGGGGAGATTCAAGACTTTCCCAAAGTAATGTGTATTTTGATACTTTTACTCTGCAGCTTGAGTGAGGTTTTCCCCTTAGTGTTCAGAGGGAATTGTTACCTTAGCATATAAAGTTCTTTGTGATGGCTGCTGTGAATTGTTACTGTATCAGTAACTTTGTATAGAACAGAACTGAATAGTTTAAATACAGATTACATTAATAGTAGCTATTGTTTGCTTTTTACATCTGTTACACTCATTAGATAGATCTGAGCTCTCTGTAAAATAAAGTCTAAATTGCAAATACGATGTTGCAAGAATTAATTTGTTTTTCCTGAAAATATAAATCCTGGTTTCATCTTGGATCTATTTAGAACAAATAAAATGTATTTAATCAATGGTAAACCATTCATTTACAACAAATGCAATCTGTACACAGCGCCTGAGCCCCTGGCTCTTATTTCTCATATGCTTACAAAGTAGCCTTTGATTTTCTGTCATGTGTTAATTACCGTATTTTGCCATTTAACTGGGAGCACTGTGTAAACTAATTACAGGCTAATGATTGTGGGCTTGGAGCACAACAATTTTACTTTTTATTCCATTCGGAAGAATAGCAGTCATCTCAAGGTTCTTGTGGCTCCCTCTGTTTTTGTTCCTATTAGCTCATTCTTTCATTCAGAGTGTATGTGTGGTGCGGGGCTGTAATTGTTGTGGCTTTGGTGCTGTTAATTATGGCAGAGAGTGGCTGAGCCACAGCCAAGGTCCATAATGGTGGCTGAAGCAGCACAGGGAAGTAAATGGGGTTTCTTTCACCAGCTGGGGTCCCATGGAGAGGGAAGAGTGCCGAGGCCCCCAGTGTAGGCCGACAGCCTCGGGGCTTCTGGGCCATATGGACACAACACTTTAACTGGCCTTTATTCTACACCTTGCTCTTTTAATCAAAGCAAAGCCCACATCCTGTGCTCTTCATTGCATGATGTTTTTCTTACGATATTGTTTTCTCCTAAAATCTGTTAGCCACTTGGATGTGAATCATACTGACCTTCTGTTGAAATGCTTTATACAGAAGAGTGCAATCTGGCTCTTTGTGCTGAAAGATCATAAAACAGTATTGTTGAGTAGATCCGAGCATATTAATATGTTATATTAATGTATCTAATCATTATCTTCTAACTATCATGAATGTTTAACCTTCTTCATACATTTTGAGAAATGACGCTCATTAATAGAGCACTTTGCTGAAAAACAATAGATCTAACTGCACTCGTAATGACAGCTAGTGAATACACTCCAGAATATTTTGCAAGCTTTACGAAAACAGTAGTTTTAATAAATTATTAATCAAATACAAATGATCAAATTAAGCATTATAATACTAATCCATAATTTATCAGCTTTCACCAATAATTGTTTACCAATAAATATCAAAGGGATTATTAAAGTGTATATTATCATATGTGTCATAGTTTAGTTAAAGTCCCATTATATCCACTATAAAAGTAGATGGGGGATAAATGAGTGTGACTGGCCCTTTTTTCTTAATTATTGCTTGGTCTGACGGGCTCCATATGAGAAAGCTTGAGTCAGATAATACCATGTGCTCGTTCAAAATAATATTAACATTCAGAACCCTTCTGGCTATGCAAAAGGATAGCCTAAAAGGATACAAAAAGGAGAATGGATGGGTGGTGGTGGTGGTGGTG